ATTATTCTCTCCACATAAATTAAATAGATTTTTTTTTATATATATATATATATATATTTAAATTTGTAACAAAATTTTAACCTTACAATGTGAAAATATCAACAAAATCAGATAATACCATTTATACAACAAAATATTGAAAAAAATGTATATAGATTTGCATACCAATTTTTATATCATTTGATATATTATATTATGAATAATTTTTATTTGGCGTAAAAAGTAAATTTCTCTTTAAATAATAATTAAACCTTCAACAAATTAATTTTCTATAAGCAAAATAGTGCTAATGATAAAATCAATTACATGTATAAGATATCATTTTAGAATTATAAAAATAGTTTTTTTCATTCATTTTCCTATAACTAATATATTAATACTAATGATTATACCGATATTATTCTCTCCACATAAATTAAATAGATTTATTTTTTGATTATCTATATGTATATATTTATATGTACGATTTATTATTTATAAATTTAAATTTAAAAATATAAATATAAATTATTAATAAAGTTTTAAACTTACAATGTGAAAATATCAACAAAATGATAATTTGTTATTAGGAAAATTTTATTTCAATCAATTACAATACAATTTTATGTTAGTAAAATAAAGTTATAACATAAATATCAGATTATAGACTATAATTAATTAATTATAAATTATAAGTTTTTCGTAAATTATTGTTAATTGTTTGTAAAAAAATTATGAACGTTTTATTATTTTTTGAATTACATAAAAGAAAAGTTATACGCTTTACCACGTTTTCCATGATATATTAAACATAATTTTTTTTCACTGCTATTAAAATGATCTATTTCTTCATCGGAAAGAAATATAGATTTTGGTAGACATAACTGGCAACCATTTTCCAATCGTGCAATTATGGTGTGTCCATACCTGGTTTCAACAGCTCTCAGCTGTGTTACTGGATATGGACGATCCAATTGTAATGATGACATAGAGACATATTCATTTTTAGCTTGTGACTTAAGTTTTTTTACAACATCCATTTTACTAAAAAAAATTTTTTATTTAACAGAGTAAAAATTCTATTTAAATACATACAAAACATATTTCGATATTTTATTATTTTTTTCATAACTAAAAATGTTGAACTAAAGATCTTATATCAATATTATTTACTCTTGTATTTTTAATTTGTTGTAAATTAATTTTATATGTGGTAAGATTTTCAAAATAGTTAACATCAATCATAAGGTATGTACAGCGAATATTACATTCGGAACATAATATTGTTTTAGCTAATTCTTGCACATCCCTAGCATGTTGAATTAATATAAATTCTTCAACTTTAAAATAATCACGATTATAAAAAAGGATATTGTTACATTGGAAATTTCCGCAACTAATGATGTTGTCTATTTCACTGTAAAAAACTAAAACAGGATAACCTCTTTTGAGGTTATGTATTATCCTAAATTTTTCTAATATATCAATTCTAAACATATCAGGGTATTTGCATATATTCCGATAATTTCGAGATTCACTTTCGACTAAAAGTTCAATAGTAGGTTCTGGTAGAAAATCGAATGGTACAAAAGGATTTTGCGGCATGATAACTAAAATAAAATAATAATAACTTTATTTAGAAAAAAATATCTAGACTTGTTTACCGTTATTCAATAATTATGATAAAACGAATTTTTATTTATAGAAAAATAACTTTTTACGTCAAATAAATTATTAGTAAAAAAATTTAATTTTACTGTTGGTTAATAATCAACTTATAATATTAAAATAACAATTTAAAGAACTTACATTATTTATATATTCCTCAAAATGCAATTGATGCAACAAGTATTTGTTACAGTATAAGTTTTCA